GTGAAATCCATTGTGCAAGCTGTCCAGCCATTCCAGCCCATCTTTGAGTAAAGGAGCAGACTAAATCCAAGAAATCTAAGTCTAAGGGACATCATGACAGAATGCCAGAAAAAGAAATATAAGTGCCTTATTGGAGGATGTTTCGTGGAATGAAATAATTGTCATGGGACATTTGCCCACCTCCAGTGCAGTGGGAATGCCATATCATTTGTCCTGGCAAGACCTTCCTGAAGCTTTGCCATGTAAAGAAATCCATCATACAGGAAGGTCACTCTACAGATCTATTTCATGCATTCACCATCTCAAGAGCAACTATCTAAATAGCAGCTGTTACTGTGGTTAAACCAGCTGCTATGGCAACTTCTGCAATGTTCACATAGGTTTCAACATTGCCTTTATTGGCAGAAGCTCCTCCTATGGTTCCAAAGGTAAGGACAGAGAAGGTAGCACTCCCCACAAAGTCCCCCATTGAGATGTCACAGCAGCTCTCACTCCAGCAGGTGGTGATGTTAAATTACCACTGCCAAGAACAGGTGGAGAAAAGCCTTGGCATTATACAACCACAAGGAAGACTATCTAATAAGTGCAGAGAGCCACTAACACAGCTGGAAGAAGAAGAAGTGCTTTGTCTTCAAGAGGATCTGACACAAACTCGGAAGGCTTTTTTGAGAGCCAGAGAAATTATCCAACAGACCACCACAGTGCACAAGAAACCCATAGCTGTGTTGGAAGATTAACTGTAAGGGCTTCTTTAAGTGAGTAGCTGTCTTCCTTCCTAAGTTGTATATAATTTTAGCACATTTGTATACAGTTAAATTTTTCTAAACTGGTCTACCCTTGATATTAGCATTTCAAGTCTCAGCCAAACTGCTATGATTCTTATGTATGATAGTCATCACAATATCAACCACCCTTTTAAACCAGAAATCGGCCACTTCTTATAAATGTTGTAAGAGTTTGATAGGGATTTTAACCCCAGTTTACCGATCCATGCCTATTAAGAAAATAAAAAGATTTTTTTTCATTTCATCAGTCATAGCTTGTCCAGCAAAGTGTGAATGTATTAAGTTATCACTTAGTGATAAAACTTGTTAAAGATCACAAGTCCCGACTAGTGTGATTTTGCTGAAAAGTAAAAGGTATGCTAATCTACAGTTGGTAACATAATAAAAAAGAAAGACACTAAAAAGACATGTTCTGCAAAGGTGACTAATTTTGGCTTGTAGTTTAACTGGGGAGAGGCTCAAACCATTCATGACTTTGAAATCACAAAACCATTGGTGTTTTGAGAATATCAACACCAGTCATCTACCTGTCTACTATATGGCAAACAAAAAATCTTGGATGACATCCATCACTTACACTGACTGGATAAGAACTGTCAACACAACCATGAAGTTTCAATAATGTCAGATACTAATGTTTTTAGTAAATGCTGCATCTCGCTCATAAGAACTCAAACTCAGCAGTGTTACAATGCAACAATTTTTACCAGTCAGTACAACATCAGTTCTTCAACCTATGCACCAGGGCACTGTTAGAGCATTCATAACCAAATACCAGAAGCTCATAATAAAATCCCTACTGACCCAGACTAACCAGAGTCAATCTACTTCAGAACTTTACAGAAAGATTTCCATTCTTGATGCATTTATCGGATATCACATGCCTAGAAAAACACAGAGGATATCACCATCTGTAAATGCTTCAGATAAGAAGATTTTCCAATGAAAGATAAGACAAATGCCAATAGTGACATGATGACAACATTCCATTAATTCACCTAGCAAAAGAAATGCGAGAGGTGCCAACAGACATTTACACCTATTTTGACCATGCACTGCCAACAGAATATGAATCAGATGATTGGGAACAAGACTTGCTCAACCACCATCAACATGATAACAGCAATGCAGATGACATAGAAGATGCAATCACAATCACAGACCCACCCCAATCAAACAACCAAAACAGTCAATAGAAGAAACACTTCAAATGTTCAGAGAAATTCAATGAAAAACAACATCAATTTTATCCAAGACACAAGAAAAGCCATTGAGTTAGAGAACTGTATTGTTAAAAGATGCTAATAAGTGAAATGAGCAACAATCCAAATGTTTCTACAGTGAAAGTGCACAAACATTAAATAAGGCACTTGGGTGCACCTGTGAAATGTATTAGTTCTTGAATTTAAATGTTTTTCTTTATTTTTGTTATAGTACTCTTTATTGTTCATGTAAACATGTTATACTATGTCATGTTAATTTGTTATTGGCATTGGTTTTATGTTTTTTATTTGCATAAAATTAATTAAAATAGCAATAACTATATTTAATTTGTATTTCATCATCAATAGCTAACAGTATTTATTACACAAAAATTAAAAATGCACAAGAAACAAAACATTCCAAATGTATTTCAAGAAAAGGGGGATAACCCTAGTTCAAAATTTTCTTGCCACCCCTCTAAACAAGTCAGTTTTGATAGTCCCAAAGACAGCTGTTTTAAAGGAGTTTCACTGTCTATGCATTTTGTTATGGCTAATTTTTACATTTAATTTGTTTTTTTACAGTGTATATATATATATATGCTTAGGATTAAACTTTTTATTTCTACAATGTATGTATTCTTTTTTCTTAGGGAGAGGGGGGGGGGATATTGTGCATTCAGTGCTGCCTCATAAAGGTGATATACATAAATGATTTTGTTTAAAGATTCTAATCCTTAAATGTGTTTTTTTTTGGGGGGGTGATCTTTAGGGTGCATTTTAACTGTTTTAAAAGTGTTTTTATTTTTCTTGTAAAAACATATGTTAGTTGTCCCCCTAAATGGGATGGGATTCCTTGTTCAAGGGTTTATTTTGGCATTTTATTTGCAGAAAGGGTATTGAAATTTGTAATATGTTTTATCTTTGTTTAAGGGACTTATTTATGTAAAGTGCTTCCATTTTTAAGAGTAATTAATTTTTTCCTTATGTTTTGTGAGTGTAATGTATTAGACCACTCCCTTATAAGGTAGGTGGGTAAGTATTCTTAACCATTTTTATTAAGGACTTAGATTTTATTATTGTTTTTGCCATTGTATATGTGAGTGTTGTTAGACAAGTGGCTTTACTGAGGTTAGGGTGAGTTATCTTTATTTCTTGAGCAACACACAAATAAAGTTGTTTTTAAGATTTAGAATTAGGGACAGCTAGGTCAGCCTTGAAGAAAGATGGAAGGAAATGTGTAGTAAAGAACTTTACCATGCATTAACCCCCCCCCCCATAGCTAATATGTAATTTTTTTTATTTCTGTATTTTCTTTCGGTTTAGCTTGGATGCAGGGAGTCAATTAAATTTCACTTTCTCCAGTGCACATGGCATGTGAATTCACTAATTGGCAGTTATCCATGTTTTCTTACAGGAGAGATAACTTGTAATGTTGTGAGGTAGATGATTGTCTTTCTTGTCAGTGAATCGGATAATAGCTAGGGGCTTACCCACTCTTTGTGCTCAGAATGCAGTGGATAAACATAGCATGTACAAAGTGGAGTTGTGCACAAGCCTGGCTTTGTGTAATGTTAGTGTATTTTTGTATATAAAGCCAGGTTTGCCTTGGAAAGTGGAAGAGAACTTTCCTAGGGTTGATGTAATTTCTACTGACTTGTGAAATATTAAATTTAAGTTTCACTTTAATGTTGCTTTTAGTAAATTGGCTTTCTGTTTTTAACTTGTTGGGGTTGTTTTTAATTTTACTCTTTACTTTTATTATAGTTTACAATGGGGGTGCACACTGAACTGGTAAGAGAAACTATTAAAGGTTCTTTTCACATATCTGTTGCCAATTCAACACGTCCACTAGACACTTGTTCTAGTGTTTTGTATTGTATTTTGTTTAAGTGTGTAATAAAGATTTTTCAATTGTACATTTGTATATTGTCTCTTTCTGTGTAGTGAACTCAGTCAAAGTTCAGGGAGAAACACAAACACACTCCATAACTCAATATACTTGAACCCCCAGCTAATGGGCCCCATTCAACTGCTCTGAGATAAGTCCCTGATCTGGAAAATATTGCACATGAAAGAAAATTTTGAATAATCTTAATGTTAAACAAAGGGGCAGAAAACACTTAGTATGCTTGCATACTACAAGGATTAGTTTCTAGTTATTATTCATCAGATGAAAGCTGGATTTAGGGTGTTTCTGTTATTAAACTTATCATAACTGTAGGTTTCACAAAAGAAACACTAATACTCAAATTATATTTATGCAGAATTGATAAGCAAATGAAATTGATATAGTGTTAATACTTGTAAAAGCAGTGAAAGCTAATATTTTATATTTATAATATTTATATTTTTAATCAGTATTGACTCTTCATAGTTTTATCATTTGTATTAGTATAATTTTAAGTACTGCTAAGCCTGTTATGTCAAGTATGGAAAGAAGTATAGGAAAGGTTTTGAGGCATCTTAACGTATAAATTAAAAACAATTAAAATAGATGAAGTGCACACTACAAAAAGAAAGCAACATTCCTTCCATGCTAACTTTGATATCTTCCATAAGATATTAGCATTAGCAATGTTTGTCTAAATTTTGGGTTTTATAATATTTCTGTGCATGTTTTTTGTGAGTCTTGGCAAGATAATAAAACAGAATTTAAGTACTTTAATGTCTGATAACTATCTGGGTTTATAAGATACCTTAAGATAAAACTATTTTATTTGAATCAGTCTTTTCTATTGTAAAAAGTTTGGGTTTTACCAACTGTACTTTCTTTCTTTCCTTAGTCATTGGTGTTTCATGTCTAAACATTCAACAAGACAGTGGGGTATTATTAGACTTAAAATATTCTTTTCATGTGTCTGTTAGGGCATCTGATTTTGTATAAACAAAATTAATTAAATTTTGATATTGAAGCTGAATGAGTGAAGAAAAATATGTATTATAGTAAGTGACTGTTTATTTGTTTCTGCTTAAATAAATTCTGTATAGTGAGGTTCAAAGTTTTTGTCAGTTTCAGGTAAAAGGTTTGGGAAACAGTTTCCTGCATCACTGAAGAAGAAACATACTTTAGCTTTTTCAAAGTTGGTGTCCACTAGCAACTTCACTCCCTGTGCATCACAAGTTGCCCAAACAAAAGAAGTTATTTTTCCAAGACTGTCACTAACTAGTTTTGATCCTCGTCTAAATAAAGCTGATGGACAAGATACAGCACAAAAGGAATTATTTCACTCTGTCACTAACCCTGCTCCTACGCACTCATTTGTGCATGAAAAAGATTGTACATATTCTTCTGTAAGTGAACCTCTTGGGAACAAAGATGCTCAGAACACAGATATTTTGTCACCTTCTTCTAAAAGTATGCAAAACTGTACTCAGAAAAAAGTCACTATAAAAGAAAGAGATTTTACTGAAGATCAAACTTCACAAGATAAATCAGCAAATAATAAATGTTCTTCAAATTTGCACATTTTGTCACCTATTTCTGATTCTACACATGAAAATAATTTTAAAATGGAAACAAGAAGTATTGGGAATAAAAATATCATTAATCAAAGCTGCCACAGTGTGTCTGGCAGTTCTTTTATGACTGTAACAGAACCTGTTTTCATTGAAAAACATTGTAGTATTTCTTCACCAAGCACTGCAGAGTCACATGAATCAACAACCTTATCCGTCAGTACTCCATCTATGTCAAGTTGTTCACAAGATTTGCTGAAATCACCTGAAGAAATTATTTCCAATGGTTCAGTAATTTCTCCAGATATACCCCTTCAGAAACCTCACTGTTTAGAACAACTGCTAAACAAACAAAATGATTCATTAAAAACTGAATTGTCAGAGTCTGAAGTTTTGTCCCCACAACAACTTGGTGGTCAACAGAGGATTGATACAGTTGATGATATGAAAAACTTCCTGAATGCAGACTTATTGCAAGAAGAACAACGGCTCAAAATGAGCAAAAAATTTCACAAGCAAAAAAGAAAGAAAAGGACCTTGAAAAAGAGAATACAGCAAAAATGTAGGTTGATGAAGATGATCTATGAAGATATTGTTAAACTCAAGGATGCTGAAAAACATATGGGGCACAGAAAGATACAAGTGCCAGAGCTATCAAAACAGTCTTGTATTAATAATGCTAGCTCTGATACTCTTCCACCAAATGAGGTTTCACCACTAGCTTCAGATCTCGATAATGTTTTTCATGGGCCTACATCAAGTACAGAACAGAGCTCAGAGGAAAACTCTTCCAAAATTCATAATGGGAGCATCAAAGAAGAATCATCCCAAGCTTTGGGTAGTATTTTGGACTTCCAAAACTCTTCTACAGGAGACAAATTAAAGCCCCTAGTTGTTGAAGATGGTGAATTTCACCCAGTGTACTGTGCAAAACAAGAGTTCAAAAGTAACATTGCAGATTTCATTCATCAAGACTCACATGTACAAATATCAGAATCACCCCATAAAGAAGTCATCTTGGTAGACTTTCAAAGACATCTGGATGAGATTTCTTCATCTTTCACCAAACAGTTACACTTTCTTACCCACTGTTGGGACAAATCAGTGCATGAAAATAACAGTAGTCTCAAATATAAGACATTGGGGCAAAATAAAATTAAACCAGTTTCTCAATGGGAAGAATACTTGAGTGGTGACCTCACTGTATTAATAAACTTTATTGAAAACCTTACCAACAAATGCACCAAAAGACTCACTGGTAAAGATTTAAACCAGATCAGCTCTCTGACTAATATCTCCAAAATTCAGGGTACAAAGGCAGCTGAGCCTGTTGTGTCTCCTAGAAAGAAACAAAAGTCACACTTTACTGGACATGAGCTGGAACCAGAAAATATTGGATTAGTCCAGACACCTGATGAGGAGTTCAATGGTTTTAGTAATAAAAACAATGTTCAATCCTCTGGAAATGTTGAAAAAGATACAATCACAGATCTATTTAATTCCCTATCTCATGAAACAAAGACGACTGTGATGCAAAAATTTCATGAACTTTCTGAAGATCTCCGCAAGTCTGATGACTCCCTAAAGCTTCCTGTCAAAAGAAAACTCAAAACAAGTCTCATGACTATTTCCAAACGAAAAATGTTTCAGGATAGCCTCTAATCTGGTATCGCAACAAATATTAACATGTGCTTTTTCATATGCCAATGTCTAATGAACAATAATACACTTTGTAATTGAAAGAGAATAAAATATCATAAAATACATTATGTTTAAGACAGATTTAAAATTCATACTTCCCAAATAATTTATATTCTGACTAGATTAATTTCTTACTCACATGGACTATAATACGCAATCGCATGTACTCATGGCAAATATTTCTAGAGGCTTTTTTTTTACAAAAGCATAAAAAATCACTTCAATTAACTAGAAACTTAATTTAAATATGTATATTAGCAATGCTCTGTTGAAAATAAATCTTAGAAAAGAATAGAGATTAGCAATGTTTAACACAAAATGTTTTTATATTTCAAATTCTCTGGGTTCTTGATGATAAGCCTACATAGTCATTTTTTTTCTTACAACTTCTTTAAAAATCAGTGCTTTTGTGCTTATCTGGAAGGCAGTTAACACATGGACTGTAAGTACATAATAGAGAGGTTAAATGGTAATGTTATATTAAAATTAATTTAGAGCCTCACTATATCATAACAGTTGTCTATCTGACAACCATTTACTCTGACAATAGCCTTACAATGTAGTATCCATTGCAAAAGGCCCCATCATAAGACTGTCACATTTGAACAACATCACTCCACCCTGCTTGCTTTCCATGAACTGTCTTATGTACAAGAATAAGTTTTCCAGCATTCATTTCAAGTCTGATCACACAGAAATCCATAGGCACCTCATCAGGTGACTTGACCAGTATGTATTCATATGGAAAATCATGAATACCCATGTAATTATGCAGCTTCTTAAGCTATTTGACATGTGAATGGATATGTCATAGAAGCAAATTTGTATACATGAATTGTGTCACTTCTCCAGATCCTTCTTGATTATATTGCATAATTTTACCTGAGACACATGGATGGCTTTTACCACTAATTAAATGAAACATTGCATCAGAAAGGGTTTTTACATACCCTACCCAAAAGTGATAAATTTTCTGTGGCAATACCTACAATATGCCAGGTAGTCAAAATGTACTTCTGATACATTCCATTCCACCACAAATGTATATATGCTGTTCTTGCCACAAGACTTGCTGATTTGCATACTGAAAATCACTTTGATATAACATAATCAACCCTCTGTTATGTGAAGTAGCTTGAAACAGAGAAATGTGCTAAAATGTAAACAATACTTCAACTGTTTTTGTGGACTAATCTGTGACTTGGGGGGGGGGGGGGATATGGAAATTTTTGCTAAAATGTAAACAATACTTAACTGTTTTTATGAACAAATTTGAGACTTGGGGGGGAGGGGGAGGTTATGGAACTTTTAAAGTTCAGTTGTTTATATGGGTATATATGTATTCATTGCAAAAATAATGTAAGTACAAATTTAAGGTATAATTTTATTAGATTTTCTATGTTGTTATCAGTGATATTTGTATAAAGAGCTGAGTAAAGAAATTATTTTGTTTGTTTTTCTGACAAGATTTATTTTCACTTTGAAAGAAATCCTTATAAACTAGTTAAGAAGTTCTCAAACTTTCCAAGCTCATGTCCATAAGCATTCTCACTAAGGACCACAACCAATGAAGCCAAAATAATGGAGTAAATAACTTTCCCTGAGGGTGCAGTTGATTATTCCTTTCTTCATACAGTCCCCCCCCCCCTTTTTATGCTGTAACAATGGTACGAACTATTAGTGAAAGCTTTTTACAAACATCAGGGTCATTTGGTGATGGCATATTTTTGTGTGTGTTGTGGTCCCCTAAAACCATATTGCTGTTCCTAGCCCCCAATTTAGAAGCACTTAGACAATTTATGGATTTCCATTTTCTTTTGTTTTTTTCTGAGAAATTATTGTATGCTTTTATGTTCAGTATAATTTCACAGAATTAATGTTACTTTATTTTACTTTATTTGGTACGTACTTTAACATTTATTGACAAATTAAATACAGATTTCTTTATCAGAATGATATAATCAGTTGCTTTGTGTATGTGGTATTCAGGTGACTTCTAATGGTGACAATTCTTCTGAAACAGGATTACTAGATTTTCTTGAAAAGGACATTTTTGTACATAATTTAATATCTAATTTTCATTGTATGAGCAATCTTCATATGCCAGAGCACAGTTTATTACTATGCAATGTTTCAGAGTTCAGGGTAGCCAAGAAATTAGCACATCCTTGATATTCCATTAAAAAAAAAATGCATGGCCTTGTTTCAGTGATCTGAGGTTATTACAATCAACCTCTTGTACAGTCTTCTTCATCAGTCTTGTAACAACTTAAAGAAAACAATTCTTAGTTTATATATTGATGTTCATAAGGTCTTAAATGAGTAGCCTCCTAGACACCTGCTAACAGTAGTTGAGCTTTAAAAAATGTGAACTATAGGACTTCCAAGCAATACAAAAAAAAAGTTTAAAGTCTATCTGATACATAAATTTGAAAATAAATATTGAGAATTAGAACTGGGTGATTAGTTGAATTTGCTAACCTATAGATCTCCTGGCAAATTGATCAATTAATTCAATGAATTGATTCTTCTCATGTGAGACTAATCTTCCTATTTTCAACTTGTTTTGAGTTTCTTAGACATTTTCAAACAACCATTAAATTAACGTGACAGATATCTTCAGGTACAATGATTTAGCTAGGATTAAGTAACTTTTTAATCTTAAACTGTTGTATGAGAAAATCTTATACATATGGAACCTAGTCAAAACCTGCAAGACGTGATTAATAATGTTCCATTGGTTGCTCCCCACAAATTTTCACAAGAGCAGAATAATTGAATTTGTGTTGGTTACAATAAACATTACTTCATGACATTGACTTTTAATCAACAAAATAGAAATTGAACACATCTATATCCTTATTACGTGTTTATCATTGCACATTACAAAAGCTATAATACAATCATATACTTACTTATACATAATCAGTCATGGAGTAGGTTTTATATTATTCTATATAACATAAAGTACAAAGTAGAAAATTGTTTATATACATGTTGTGTTTTGTTACCCTAACTAAAATATCCGATACTTGCAAACTTTAATGCTATATTAATTTTCTGATTTTATTGTTTATAGAAAATTGATTAGTACCTTTACATTCGATTTGAAGGCCATGGGATTGATTCCCATTGCCAACAAACAAGCTTGTCCTTTCAGCCATATTTTTTCTTTTGTTTTTGAGATATGGCTAAACTATTAAGGTTTTCTGTCACCTTTCCTAATTTTGAACTTCAGACCAGAGGGAAAGCATCTAGCTGACAGCACCCACCATCAACTTTTGGGTTATATTTTACCAACGAATAGGATTGACTATCTCATTATGAACTGTGGGTAACTGATTCAACGTGTGGTGCCGCCAAACATGTATACTCTTTCAGCTGTAGGACCATCATAATGTCACAATCAACCCCATTATTTGTTGGTAAAAAAAAAGAGTAGCATAAGAGTTGGTGGCAGGTGTTTAATTGGATAATTTGAATGATTAGAAATAACTAATTTTGATTTGACTATTTTCATGATAATAATTTATTTATTCATAATTTGGTTAACTGATAGTTACGAAATGGTAAACAATGTAATCTATTAATTGCCCAGTTCTATTGAGAATGACAAAAAATTCTGGCTAGTTCTTTTAACAATAGACCCAGGAAATTTGCAAGTTATCCTCTCAAAATTCAGTAACAAAATTGGGGTTTTTCTAATATCTAATTTAGCTTATGTCTTTTTTGAAGATAGCTTTAGGTAATGTGGTTGACATCTAAATAAGGATTTTTTTTTTCTGTGGATGACAACATTTCAGGCTCCATGCTAAAGAAGAACTCAGCATGGAACCTGAAATGATGCCAATAACAAAGATAATACAAGAACTGTCCTTATAAAACCTTCCTAAATTTAGCTGATTAACATCATAAACCTTGGAAAGATGTAATGTTTAATGTAGATGCCATTTTGCATGTTACATAGTAGAAAAGCATATTCCCAGATCTGTTGTCAAAATCCAAAATAATCACTACCAGTTTAATTTTACTGAAGTTCTAATGATGCTGAAACTCTGAAGTGGCTCTAGCCTATGTATAAAGTTAAAATTTTTCTTGATATTAACAATGTATAAGCTATGAAGTGGTTGAATGTTAAGTTGCTTGCAGATACAAATAGCCATGGTAGTGTCCTCTAAGACTTTATTGAGCCTGTAGTATTTTTATATTCTTTAATAACAGAATATTTGAATGTTCTTAATAAACTTAGCAAGGATAAAAAATAAAACATCAGAGACTAGGATTTTCAGCATCAATAAATGTATTAACTACTGTTTGTAATTTTAACCAATATGACCACACAACTGAGATTCAAACTACTAATCCTGTTGTATATTCAGAACATTGAGTAGTGTACCATAATGTTAAACACACCACGTAACAAGTACAAGATAAGGCATAAATTTTAAACAAAAACTGTCATTCTAGAGATAATAAAGTATAAGGGATGATGTTATTTAGTACAATTTAATATAGTATTATTAGCATATAGTTTAATACTTTGATGTTCAAACTATGTATTTTATTCTTTCAGTATGCTTGCTCTTTGCTTCAATCTGGTAATTATTGTGTACAAAGAAAAATTTTGTTTTCGTGTTGCACCTTTTAGAGTATTGACAGTAAAACTTGTATAGCAAAAGCTTCCCAGTTTAGAATGTATACAAGTATGTTGTAATTATTCTTTAATTCAATATTTATCAGTGTTATTTGCTAAGCTCATGCAAAATACAATAAATGTATTTTTCTGGATACAGATAAAATTTGTGATTTTATTTCTGAGTACTTTGTAAAAGCAGTACATGTACACTAACAGTTACACAAGACAAATATTTCCCTTTCTGTTTTCAATACTTTTACTGAACCTTATAAATACAAAGTATGTGTATATAATATACAATTGATGCAGTATTACATGTAAAATGTGGAATTATATTTCTAAGAAATTTGGAAAGAGTAGTGTATATTATAAACCCCCCTTTTTTTCTAAGACATTTTTTTTTTTATTTGTCTTATATACATACAAGCACTTAATGAAGCTGTTGCTACAATTACCACTCAAAATAGCCATGAAAAAAGAAAAACGTATTGTATTAACACAAGTTATTTTACTTCACAATCCTCTTTAACAAAAAAGTTTAATATCAGGGCCTGATTTGAACATGGTAGTAACTATAATGAAAAGTAAAATCAAAATTATTTAACCATGTTTTATTACTATTAACTGCTTTAGGAAACATATGTAAAACCGATTAGTTTTGTATAGACTACAAAATTATATTTAGTCTTCAATTCTATATAAAAGTTGGACTTTTTAAGAAAGAAAATGTCAACAATTCAAAAATTATAGAGCATATTTGCTCTGATCCATCAACAAAGAAACATTTGTGTAATGGTAAGAGTTTAAGCACGTGCATCTTGTGACATTATTTAGAAAAAGTTTACTTACTACAGAAGATTTGATTTTATTAATTCTATAAACTTCAACTGTGTATTTTGCATAAAGCTTTGGAGGAAGACTGTGGTTTAACTTTAAACATAAAATTCCTATATAAATGACATATGTTACTCCTTTCTCAGTATTTGACAAAAGTATAAAACATTTAAGATAACGTGTAGTTTCCAGTATTACAGAAACTTCTTGAAAAAAATAAGAAAATATTGATAAATAACAAAAAATTGTAAAACCTGGAACAGGTTATTTTATCAACTAAGTTTAAAAGTGTTCATAATTTAAGGCCATACAAATATTTAATAAACAAAGATGTTGAACACTCACGTTGTCAGTTTTTTTATACCAGTAGTGAATGCCTATGTAATAAGCCTAAAGTGATATGCAATTATATTTTATTTTATGAAATAAAATCAGTGAACAAAGAAGTAGAAACTATACACATATCATTTAATTATTTTTATTTACTTTGACAACAGACAATGATTTGTAAGCTAAAGAATATGGTTTCTCATGATTGTATCCTTGATTTTGTAGAGTACGCTAGGTACCAGAGGAACATAGCCAATAACACTGCAATCAACTCACTCTGGACCCACGGACCTTGATATGTTCCCTAAATTAAAGTAAAAAATGCAATAAAGCATTGAAGTTAGATATATTTATTATATTTGTAAAAAAAGCTGGTGCTGAATAATTTAAAGTATTTATTTAATTTTACAACAAATTCTAGTTTAGTACAATAATTTAATTTTTTCTTTTATCCAGGGATAAATGATACTAGCAAAAATATATTGTATTCAGGGTGTGATAAAGATTTTGAAAAATTTTGGGGTAATTAGGCATTCTGATATATATTTACTCACATACATAAAGTCACATAAAAATGTTTATAAATAGTTTTTTTTCCTTATTCAACATACCTTATGTGTGTTTATACAAATTTCACATATTTACAACAAAGACAAAAGTGCCATATATATCTGATATTCAAGTACATTGAAATGTATAAAACAAGTATCTGTAGTACACAGTTGATTCCATAGAATAAATTTAATATAGACAGCAAATGAAAATAATCCAAAACAGATGAATGGAAAAAAAAAATATTTATTCATATAACAAAATGTATATATATCCAGATTCTATATTTCATATTAATTAACTGCAGCTGGCTGCAGGAGCAAGCCATAAGTATGTATACCTATGCAAGAATCCTTATGATACCATACTTTCAAATAGGATAAGTCTTAATGCAGTATCCCACAATCCTAGATTACCTACATCCCATACTCACATAAGTCTCTATATCACCCTTAAATGAGTACATCCTCACTGCAAAAGGTCAGGACACAGAAACAAGGTCAATCAAGTATAAACCTTTCTGAACAACTGTTGTTGTATGTAACTTTCGTCTGAGAATGAACAACCTTTACATCTTGTTTACTAAGACACAAACGAAGTATGCACAACATTTTAGAAAAGTTTACCAGAATATATGTTCTTCCCTAGTTATGGAAAGTTGAAATTAAAAGTCATCAGGCTTTCTACCAGAGTTTTGTAAAAAAAAGTAAGGATTTCCAATCAAATAACAGAACACAAAAGGAGAAGATAAGACACTGGGTGGCACAAAAGCATATACATTATAAACTGGTACCAAAAATCATAAATCTCAAGTTGACTCCATCATATATTTTTATTTGCAATATAACTTGTGCATAAAATTAAAGACAGAAAAAATAAGCCTTCCTTTGAAAACTGTTTCTACAGTGGCAACAGATTAAAAAGCACAAAAATTGATCACATTCTCCTGATTTACACCAACAATTTGCTAGTTGTTCTATACTAATGTAAATTTTTGACCATACTTTATTTTTTTCAATGATCAATAGTTTCTTCATTCTAGACCCTGCCTTCTATCAAGTCAACATTTTATTGTCTAAAGTTTTACACTGGCCAAGTTTACCAGTCAACCAATCATCCAGTACACTTAGCAAAGCTGGTACATATCTGATCACAACTTATCCAACAATCAGTCATACACAAATCTAAACACAATGTATTGTTTACACCTTGAAATTATAAACTTAAATGTTATGTTTTAAGATTTAAAACCAATTTTGTATTCATGACATTGAACAAAAATGAATGTTTGAATTAAAAATCAAAAAGTATGGAAAACATTCAAAGAAAATAAAAATTTGTGAAATTCAGGGACAGCAGAAAACCCGAGTTATTTAAAATGTGACACATAAAGGAAAGATATATAAAATCATGGAAATGTAAAATATTTTGGGAGAGAACACGACAGTGGTGTTAACTTGGGAGTGTGTGTAACTTAACGGCATCTACTTACCATGTATTGGTTGTTTTTTAAACTTCCAACATCATATATAAAGGACAGGTGGTTTTGTTTTTTTTAAAGCTTAGTTGTTTGAAACTAGTTTATTCCTAAAGAAAGACATTTTTTTATTTGCTTATTATCTACAAGGTGTCTATTGACTTAAACTCACTTGATGGTTGATGGTTACAGTAAATAAAGGTCTGATGCTCGATGTATCCTCACCACTACGCTGAACCTGATAAATAAAAATGTTATGATAACCAAAAGAAATTCTTGGTTGCTCCCTTGAACAATTCTTTTAGTTAACAACAGTTCATCCAAATCTGACTAATATGAAAACCCTTTGCTTTCCTGTAGATATATAAAATGATATAAATAAACTGATTAGATGGCTATGGAATGAAACTTTTTGATTCCATAAAATTTGAAGAGAATAACCATAACCTTTAAAACAAAAAGATATGTCTTTACAAACTTTCAATATGAAAGTTAACATTTTCTTACACTCAAAATGTATTTCTGATAGGTGCTTACCTCCTTTCACACAAAGCTATCTCAATCTTCTTTCTGCCCTCTGAGCATTGCTAAAAACTTTTCACACACATAAGTCTATATACCTCACCACTTTCGTGCCACTATTGAACATGTACATAGCATGTGACTGCTCTCCACCAATAGTATTGTGCCACCTATATCGGCACTGCTAGCTTCCTCTACTATTCCCACTTGATGCTCACTTTCAAGAATTAGCAGGCTTTAAAAGAAGAACACCAGCAGTGGGGAAGAAGTGTGAGGGGAGGTAAGCACCTATTGAAGATACATTTTCAGTGTAAGAGAATGTTAACTTCTGATACGGTCTTATCTCTTCTCACACAAAGCTACAATCCCACATTTCAAAGGAGCACTCAACACTGAAACCAAGTGGAAAGCAACCATCCAGGATGAACAGGTGTACTCTGAGACGAAACCAAAGTACACATGAAAGGTACTGCACTATATCTGGAACCAGTATGCTCTTCATCTGCAGGAAATGAATCTGATATGGGCAGAAAAAAAGAATGTCCACGAGTAAAATTTGTTCGAAGAGGTGCAATCCATAGTAAAATATAAACTAAATGAACTATGAAGATATCCAACCTCAACATTAGAAGGTTGAGGATCAAAACATTTAAAAACAAATATTGTGTAACATAAAGGGCTAAGGTATGTAGACCATGTTACATATACTCGTCAACCCCAACTGAAAGTAAAGTGTCATACACCAAGCAACAGGAATTACAAAGAAGTTAGCAGTCTGCTGAATTCAGACAAACTCCCAAAACCAACATAGAAGCAAGAAATACAATAAACCAAACCCGGCATTACAGGGTTGTGGCATTGCCTCAATTCAACCATAAGAAAAGGGCAATATCTGTAACCAGTATTACAAGCAGAAATCATAACTTACCATGCCATAAATGCTGGGAAGAGACATCCAGAATTACGAGGAGAACATGGGACATATGCTCAACTGTAGGAACAGTGTACATACATTCCACTGTCAATATTGCCAGGGAGATGAAGTTGTCGACCTTGGAAAAAAACATCCAAGGGAAATGGAAGAAGGGAAACCATATTTGCCCTCTTCTCACACAGTGAAAAAACATAAATATATATGGTAAATTAAAGTTCAATAATACACTCAGAAGGAAGCCTTTAAGGTCCACCACCCCAGTGACTGGGAAGTGGTAAGGTCTCCCTCGTCCCCACTGGAAGAAAAAAGGGATGAAGTAAATGTGGTGGGGAGTCCAGAGGAACTTCATACTGGAGAAAGTGCAATGGGTGTCTGCGAGTCCATATTTTAAAAAGCAGGCCGACCCCAATTTATACAATCAAAAGGTCAGCAAGGATAGGCAGAAATCGCCTTCTGCTTTGCTCATGAAGTCCATGAGTGATGGTCCACCAGTAAGTTAAATTTACTGATATCTAAAAACATACGTATATACCACTGGGTATACCACCAGTAGTCTTGTGGAACACCCCATCTCTACAGTGAGCATTATAGTGCAATCAGTAAATAGTGCAAGTTTGAGGCAAAACCAGGCAACACCTGCCACAGATCAGGATCTCGTTATCAGTGGTAAAAAAAAAAAAGGTCTGCTGAAAAGAAAACATAAATGAAAGGAAATGATAAGACTTACCTTAGTCAAAGGTAAACAGACATGTGTAGGATATCATCTCCCTCTCATGGAAGATACAGCCAAATCGTGCAGATAATGAACGATGAAGGTATTGGGAGTAATCCACATCCCAGCCGGAAAGACATTCTCCAATGGACAGCAAACATGAGCAGCCAAAGACAAGGTGAGATGACAAATTTTATGAGAAGAAACATTGTGGAGACAGCAACCTTCCAGAGATAAGTCCAAATATGCCAGCCTAAAGAGTTGATGATCCCAACCAGTGAGTGAAACAGGAGATAGAGCATGGGAAACAAAAGGGTTCCAGGGAATAAAAAGTCAGAAAAGTGAACTCTGAAAGAAGGCAGTATGTGCCACATAACACCATAAGGAGCAACTCAAACAAATAAGCCAATTAGGATTGGAATGGGAGTATGGGTAGGAGATGGAAGGTAAAGAAATGGGTATAAAAGCCAAACTGCCTTCAAGGGCAGTATAGGTCATAGGGAGGAAGGCCTGGTCATATGGATGACATAAGAGGATGCAGGTAACGTTAATGGCATAAATATCTGATTGATGACACCCACAAGCAAGGAATAAACAGAAATAGATCTTGAGGGAGAGATGGTACATAGAACACATAGACAAAGGTTCAAAGGGAGGACAGGAAAGGGCATTAAGGACCACAATGAGATCCCAATCAAGTAAATCAAAGGTACATGGAAGATGCACAACTCAAAACCAGTGGAAAAAGAGGGAAATGATAGAAGAAGACAAAACCTAATGAAACTCAGAGAAACGGAAGGTGTTCGACAAGGCGGCTCGATAGCTAGACACATGGAAGGTGGACAAGCCTTTGTCAAACAACCAGGTGAAGAATTGGGAAAGATGTGGAACAGAAGGGTGGGAAGGATAGAAACAATGTCAAAGACACCAAAGGTAGAAAGTAGACCATCCCCTTTGGTAAATGGACATGGACAAAGGTCTGATGGAAAGGGAAATGAAAGATGCAACTCTTGTAGTTAGACTCTGGTCTGAAGCAATGGACCTGACAAAGGCCATGCATGTAGATGGAGTGTGATGATGTCTGGATGAACAATGTCCACTTGAGGTTGATGGAATAGAGACCAAGACAGAAGTACAAGTAGAAGAGCTTGTATAAATAATGGTCTGAGCAGTGAGAACCATGGTTGCACTAGCCAATATGGAGCCACCAGTAGGACTAGACACAGAGTGGTTTGGATTAGGGATATAACTCTGAAGAGGAGTTAAATAATAGGGTAAGTATAGATGTGAAGACCCCCCTCCAATCTTGACTGAATGTGTTCACTGGCCCGAACATATAAATCTAGCTCCCTACGAATTAAGGCCTGTACCTCCTCTGCAGATAAAGTCAAACCCGATTCCTGGAAACTTGTACCTGTAGCGATTTTTCAAAGTAACGGAAATTGCAGTAGTTGAATCATGAATTCATACTAAGAATTCTTATAATTCAGTAACAAGAAATGAATACAAAAAAAAAAATTGTTGAAACAAATAAATATAAATACAGTAAAATAAAACTGTTGATAAAGAAAGATTTGAAATGACAAAGAAGCACAATCAGTAACGGGAACCACATGCAAAAAAACACATCTAATAAATGCTGTGCCAATCGAGCAGGAATAGCAGAGGGAGCTAGCTGTGCCAGTATAGGTGGCGCAATACTATTGGTGGAGAGTAGTCACATGCTATGTACATTTTCAAGAGTGGCAAGAAATTAGTGTGGTATATAGACTGGTGCGATGAGAGTGAAATATTTTTTAACAATGCAGAGAGTAGAAAGAGAGAGAGAGAGGTAAGATCATATTGGAATTCAGAGATTTATTCTAACTATTAATATAATAGGTCATTAAAAAAGCCAAACTAGATAAACTTTCCATTTTACCCAACATGATATTTTATCTTCATGATATTTTCACTTGTAGTCCCATATTTTATTTTTTGTTACAATCATCCTGTACCATAAGGGTACTTTTCTTAATGACATAGTCACATGTATCAGTAAAATAATATTTCAAAACTTAGAATTGTGAAATGTTTATGATAAAATAAATAGCTGTGTCAAATACAAGAGCAAAAAATATTAATTTCTGTTAACATGATGGGTGTGCCAAAACACGTATTATTTCAACTATAACACTATACCTAATGATGACTCGCATACTAGTCAACAAAAAGTATTTTATTCATTGTTCAATACTGACGACAGTAAATATATTTTAGTTTCTAAAATAAAAAGCTTCTCCTCTAAATTACAGCATGTAAAATACAAAATAGTGCATAACCTTACCTTTCTTAAAGCAGAGTACCCTTCTTCATCATACATACGCAAAATGCGTACACCATCCTGAACTTTTTTAGGTACCTCTGTCCAACTAACCTGACAGGTGAGAAACAAATAGTAGCCCAGTATTAATAACTGGTTATCACAGGGAAAGACCATACAAGAGAGCATCTTACAAAACATATTACAAATAGTAATCAGTAAAGTACACAATAAGTCAAAGGAGATAGCTGTGGCATGCATGACATGTATTGTTCATTTACAATTCTAATTACTATGTACCTGTGCCTACAATATCATTAAGCTAATATAAATATGTCTGACATATCTTTGTCTACATCATCCTACTAATAAATATACATTACGTATCTCAGACAGAAGCATAAATAACCTAGCAGAAACACGTTATTTACAAAAATGAGTAACATACTAATAGAACTTTAATTCAGTGTAGTCATTTCTAAAGAAGACAAAAAGTATGGAAACCGAAGACAGTAAAATCAAATTAAAAACATTTCAGGCTTATAGAAACCAGAGATTATTGGATACATAACCATAGCATTTCATGTAGTACAAGTAAAGAAAAAACTTTTCAAAAAAAAGGAAGTAATTATAGTAATGGCTAATATCAATCTTCCACAAATAATGCAAACAAGATAGTAGGGATGACATTTACATAATCTCTACAGAATAGCACAGTATAGAAGAATGTTAACAGACAAAAACAGGATAAATTAAAATCGATTGTAATTGAATAGTTATATATATATATATATTGCTATATGTTAATTCTTGCTTGTGCTAATATACAGAAATAATGCAATTGCCATCCCTACTATCTTGTTTGCATTGTTTTTGAAGGAATGATATTAGCCATCCATACATTGACTTCCTTTTTTGAAAAGTTTTTTGCTTTACTTGTTTTTAATGCAATGTTTCAATTGACATAGGAAGGTTGTATTTGCAACTAAGTCCTAAATAAAATGAGGTTCCAACTTTAATATTTATTGTTTATCTATTATTGGCTGGTAATTCCTATTTTACCCTGTACTTATGCTTTTTATAGGAACACCAAATTTCTGTAAGAAAGTTAACTTCAAGGAGTAATGATAATATTGTTTACACTAGAATTATGATTTGTTTTTTAATTACCACTAGTTAATAACACTTATAAAAATGGATAACCTGTTTGAAACTTAATCAACTCAGTGTAAATGACTGACACCATTGTTTTGGTTTTTGAATTATCATGTAATAAAGAAGCAGAAGAAAGAAGAACAACAAATTCAAACTTTTTGCTATGATATTTACAGACAATCCAAGAACTTGTGACTCAGTCATTACATAAATATTGTTATAAAAGGAAACACTCTATAGTATTGTAAAGTTCTGATGACCTGTTGAGGAGATATTTAAAATACCACTTCGACAAACAATCCGAGCTATCCCTACATAGGAGTGCTACTGCCTGCCTGATATCTGTCTAGATTTTGGTGCAAAATACCCAGTCGATTTTGCTGTAGGCTTGTGAAATAAAATATTAACAATAATACAAATGGGCAAATTTTGATTTGTCTAACAATCATGAAATCACTTATTTTGCTTACTCTCAATTTTTGAGTGGTCTTAACTATTGAAAAGGAAGGTTTTGAGTGTTGTTTCAAGAATAAGTCTGCCTTTTAAGGTGGTTTTTGCCTGAATGTTCTATTACAGTTTTGAGCAAATTCCTGTACGATCCCTATTATGAACTATTATCGTGGAATATGTATAACTCCTCTCTATCTATAGCATCATTAAACTAGTAACAAATATGTATTACTTATCATTAACCCTATAATTATGGGCACCCCTGTACTGTGCATGTCTATCAATGTATATCAAGGAAATTAGCATTAAACTTTACATTATAGTTCAAGGTTTTATCTTTTAAATTCCTTTATTCCAAAGGAAACCTTAAATAAAAATTCTTAAACTTCAGTTTGATGCACAACTTCACAAAACTTAAACTTTTCATTCCTGTTACTTAAATAGTTCTTTCTGTACACTATACTTCTGCGTATAGAGAGAAACTAAGTTAATTGCTCTGTTTTCACACTCTTCTTTCAAGCCACTTATGGGACATTAACAGGAAAGAAAAATTTATTTCTTGACAGATGCCACACCCACTCTCTACACAAACAGTTGCAATTTCTCAGTCAATTATACTTTCTTGAGCTAGATGATTGTAACCAATAGATAGACCACATTTTGAATTACCATTTCTCAATAGAATTGGCATGAATAATTCCGTTAAGAACTTGTCAAACGCTATTAGCATTGTTGCTGCTTGCATCCACACTAGCACTTTTAGCATAATTTCTCACCTATAAATATGTTAGTTAGACAGACAATTAAATTTATTTAGGTTTCTTTATATTTTAGTTAATTATGAGTTAGTTATGTTTCAAAATGCATATTAGAAAGTTTAATAATTTTTTAAGATATAAGCCAAACTGCCTCGCTTTATCAGGCTTAGTGTAGTAGGCAGATGTCCCAATGTTCTGACAACAGTTAAAGTGTCGATGCCGAGGAAACCCCAAGAATGCCCATTGATATATGTGTCACAATAAGTAATAATCCGATAGGATAGGAAAATAAAATATCAAAAATAAACTTACAATTAAGAATATAAACTAAGAAGATTTTCAAGATTATTCAATAAAAAATTCAAAGGTATGTACATTATACATATATATTTTTTTTTAATTTTAAACATTTCACTGCACAATACATTGATAATAATAGTTGAAATATTTAGAGTCTGGGTGCAAATAACTATGATACAAAAATAAATCTTTAACAAAATCTTACCATTTGTTGTGAAGATATATTAAGAAAGCTCAGAGTTATTGTCAGTATTGCTGAACTGTGTATCATTCTCCATACTAGAAGTAGCCAAATGGGTTAAACCCCCGTAACCATAAAGTTAACCCCTATAACTTTCAACACCATTTTTAAATTCCTTTCTGCATATGGTACTGCATTACATTCAAAATTTAATTAAACCACTTCACTATCAATATATGTCAATGAAATTAACATTATAATGTTTGTTGTAATTATATTAACCAAGGTATAACTCCTTTATTTCAAAGGAAACATTTAAAAAAAATATTTAAACTAAAGTTTTCATGTCACATGATCCACGCACTATGAAAAAGCTCCATTTTAACAGAAGCTGAGTTTAAACACATAAACCTGTCATGTATATGAATGTCTAGATGACAATGGAGGTCTATGTGGCCTTTTGACACATAAGGTACAGTTGTAAGACAATAGCATATTAGGTAAGAAACCACGTATAGTTGATGAAGCAGACAACAATACTAATGGCATTTACATCTTTTTGAATCCAAAAACTGTGTGCCAATTTCAAATTAACTGTTGGTACAGTAGTGTAAACTGAGCTCTTTCTGAAGACTATATACACTTGTGTCAACTTCATCGACTATAGCACTTATGGTGGTTTCTTACCTAAATAAGCTATAGTTAGAGAGACAGTTAAATTGTATTTAGGTCTTACTTGTAAATTTTAGTTGATTATGTATTATTTGTGTTTTAAAAATCATATTCGAAAGGTTTAATAATTTTTTTTAAGTTCAAATTGTTGTTGCCTGGAATGTGAAATATAAATTAGATGCCATCATTCGCGTGTGCAAAACGTTAATGGCCACCAGTTGACGTATCAGCATAAATAATAAAAGACAAAGAAATGGAAAGGAAAATTATAAATAAACTATAAGTGGAAAGATAAAGATGTGAAATTAAGCATATTAAAAAAAAAAGTTTCAAAAGGTTTCTATGAAGAGCTAAAAGGTATGTACATATTTTCATTTATTAATTTTATACATTTAATTGCACTGTGCATTGATGATAATAGGTAGAGTTAGTGATATAGTAGAGAAAATGGAAAAGAATATATAAACATTCACCTTAAAACTTTGATGTTGATTTAGGTGGTTGTGGAGATTATGTAAATGAAATGTGAAACTGTACAATAAAAGATAGTATTTTTACACTTCACATAAAAAAAATCACCTTGCAGGTGAACTATTCAGATTCCAAGTGCAAATAACTACATTAAATAACAAATTTTTATTAGAAGCAGTATAAAAAATAAACATTAAATATTTTATTTTTCTGAAACTAGTTTTATTTTTGGAACAAAATATGACAAGAGCAACATTACCTTCTAAGAATATTAAAAGCCAAATACCAAAGGGTTAAACTAATAATAAATATGTATTATGTTTCTATGCCCACAGCATCATTAACTCTTGTAACAAATATATATTACTAATCTCTATTAACAGTGTCATTAACCTAGTAACAAATATGTATTACTCACCTCCAACTAAAACCTCATTAACTTAGTAACAAATATGTATTATTTGTCTACCTATAGCATGATTACCTAGTAACAAATATGTATTATTTGTTTCTATCTACAGCATCATTAACCTAGTAACAAATATTATTCATTTCTACCTGAAGCATCATTAACCTAGTAACAAATATTATTCATTTCTATGTGAAGCATCATTAAATTATCAACAAATATTATTCATTTCTACCTAAAGCATCATTAAATTATCAACAAATATTATTCATTTCTACCTGAAGCATCATTAAATTAGCAACAAATATTATTCATTTCTACCTAAAGCATCATTAAATTAGCAACAAATATTATTCATTTCTACCTAAAGCATCATTAAATTAGAAACAAATATTATTCAATTCTACCTGAAGCATCATTAAATTATCAACAAATATATATTATGTATCTATGCGTTGAACATCATTAATCTAGTACAAATAATACGTATTTTTGTGTACAGCATCAATAACCTAGAAAAATTTGTTTTATGTATCTTTTTTTTACAACTTCATTAATCATCTCACTACAGGTAGGTCAAAGTGAGCATGTCACAACCTTTTAGAGTTACATTCAAAATTTAATTAAAGTATTTTATTATAAATGTATACAATTAAACTTGGCATCAAAATACAGATAATAAACCAAATTTTAATACTATATAAGTTTATGTTCTTAATATTACAAAGAAAGTTTTAAAAATCCTCTATCTCCCCTCGTACAAGAATTGTGACATTTGTTCTCTAGGTCTTCTCTATTCTATTTACCACCCTTTTCTGAAGTGCAGAATTTAACGTAACTTCCTCACTATAATAGATATTACTACAGCAAAGTTTAATTTTAATAGCTTTCAATCTTATTTGTTTACAGATTCATAAACTAGAAAATCACACTCACTAGCCATGCCCATCTGTCACATCCTGTTTCACAAATTGCCAATATTTCTCTCTGACATTTTATACTATGTTATTAGTAATCAATATAAAGACAAGGTTTTCATCTATCAAATGATGTATTATGTTATGTTGTTTTCAGCACAGTGTACTGTCTATTTCGTAATTAGTTAGAAAGTTTCTATTGCAGTGTTTAGATCAAGATGCTTAAATAATTATTTTAAGGCTTTTATACCATAGTTAGAAACAGTAAATTATGATAATTAGAGGAGATTGTTGGCTTTGTGTGTGTTATTTTTCTGTGTTTTTAGATGCATTATTTAAGTAAATAAAATATACTTTAGCATACTAATACCATTAGTATAAAAACAGTAGGCTTAAATTTCATCAGCAACCAACAGCTAAATAACAAGAGGGCAAAAGGTAAGTACTATATTTCTTGTTTTTCGTATATATTCTTTATCAATATGAAAGTAATTAAAATGTAAAAATTATAACCTTATTAAGTTAGATTAGGTAAGATAATGACAAATAATAATAATAAAACTTCTCCACAAGGCATTACATCATTTGATACAATATTGTGTGGCAGATTATTAGTTAGACATGTTTTAAAGGGCAATAAATTAAGTATAACCAAATGGATACTGTTACAAGCCTTAAACAATTGTAGTTTCCTGTTACAATTTGCAGTCATTCTAGAAAGAAAAATAGGGTAGTTTAGATTTAGTTCATTTTTTATGACTGTTACAAGGTCAGTCAAATTGACCGGGTCCACACAGAGTTAGGGTAGAAAAAAATAACACATAAAATAAAAAATTTAACTGAACAAAATTTTATATTTATTTACATTTTAGATGTTACGCAGAGGAAATTTGACAAATTTCAGATGAACAAAAGTATTTTTAATCTTAACATGAAAATCACTGTGCACTCAAAGCAGTCAACACTTTGATTCTATATATAAAGAGAAAAAACTTTACTAAAAAAATTTAATTAAGAAATCTGATTTTTTGTGTACAAAAGATTTGTAATATTTACTGAAAGTTTCATGAAGATACATGTGCCATATTAAAAGTTATAGTATGGAAACTTTATGGTTATGAGGTCAGTCAAATTGACTGAGCCCATGTGGAAAGTATTAATCTAGTAACAAATATGTACTAAGCATCTTTGAATTAGTAAAAAAGATGTATTACATATCTACGTTCATATATTCATGTCTATGAGCCCATACTCTAGTAAAAACAGATATCTATGTCTACATCATCATCAACATACTAATGTAATTTAACATAGAAACTAATAACAAACAAGCATTGTGTCTATCAGCATTGCAATTTTTCCCAATCTAGAAAAACCATCCAACAGATTTCTTCAAATAGTCTGAGTTACATAATCGAAATTTCTTAAGTTAAGACCACATATTTGTGATTCAAGCAACTGCTTCATCACTAGCACATAATCACAATAATGACTTAAAATCGGGGACTCTTAAAACAGGAGAAGGACTAATTCCTGGTAAGTTGTGCTAATTTAGTTATCATAACATGTGAATTCATCATTGTCAGATAACAAAACTACACTATCAATTAAACATGTCATACAATACAAGGAGCAGTATATGGTGTTTGGCAGTAACATCAGTTTCCCAAAAATAAATATCCAAAACAATATGTAACATGACAGGTGTCAAAATATACTGATACTAAAAGTTTTAGTCGCATCTACATCATGACTAATAAGTAACCACACATGACAACCATACTGCTTGTACTTTAATCAAATTAATGTTAAATGTCAGGGCTTGAAATCAGCTGGTAAGTGTCTACAAATTACTTTAAAAGTCAGGCATAGAAGTCAAATCACAAGATAAACAATTATTTGATTGTGTTCTCAAAGAAGGTTAACTTCTTAGCAAATAAAATCCTGTGCTTGGGAATGGACATCACAAATTTTTAAAAATATATACAAGTGTGTTGTTTACAGGCAAGTCTTGTTGGAGCTGTGCAGAAATGTAAGTTTGACATTTTATAATTTTTTTCCTTATAAATTATTCTAAACAAGTGTTACAAAATGTTAAAATATCAATTCTAAAATATTTTTGAGCAAAAAATTATTGAAATAAAGATAGAATTACACTGTAATTTAGAAATTTCAAATTCAGATGAGTATTCAACATATGATTGATGCTGACTGGTCCAGAAAGGGTAAATAGCTCAATACATTACCTGATATTTGTTATTATCTAGAGATTTCATAGCTGGAATTGTCACACCATCAACGTCTGCATATAAAGCCAAATCCTAAAAACAATGTAAAAAGTTAAACAGCTACTGCATACAACACCATAAAAAAGAAATAAAACATTCAAATAACCAGTTACTGCAAAAATAGTTAACTTTGAAATACAGGATAATAATAATAACTTCCTATCACAGTAAGATGTGTTCTTAGAGCAAAACTCAAAATCAATTTAGCCATCAGTATTGCTAATCAAATATAGTTTTCTTACATTTCTACTTATAAAGATTAGAATTCATTATTTAATCAGTTGGGTACCTTCAAGTTAAAGATAATTTGGGCCATAATATTAATTTAGCCTATAATTGCATACAGAGACATATCTTGAAAAACACAGGATTCATTGAATCAATTATTGCATATATGGGAAAAAAATAATAATCTATGTCAGGGAACACTAGCATGAAGATTCAGTTCAATATGAGGATTGACACTCATACAATAACAGAAATTTGAAATAAAGTGCTTATTAGTAATAAACAAGATGATTAAAAATGTATTTACTACATCTTCCTTACCTGATAAGACCAGATCAGTTACCATCTGTCTGAGAGAAGTTCTAATAACATTATTAATTTCAGGCCAGACCATGACCTTACCTTTGGAAAGAACTAGCAAATGGGTGCTAGTTATTTTTCCAAAAGCAAATTCAATAATGCAACAGTATTATTATTCTCTAAAAGTAACTTTATCATAATTAAATATTTCTTGTAATGGAAGTTAATATATATATATATATATTAACTTATACTTACAGTGTCACTATAAATTTTCTGTGTCACATTTCTTTGAAAATATTTTTGGATATCGAAAACTCATTGTAATTAAATGTAAATGTTTTTATCTTAACTATTTCAAAAAAGTAAAAACATCATCAAATTACACAGAAGCTGGTGTATCTAAGCCATGAGTTCTTCAACTGACAAATTTTACAGTATACCACACTGGTAAAGTCAACCACATACTAAAATACTTCATTATTATTAAAAGATATGATTCAAATACCGAAAGCTAAGAAAGCATTAAAGGCCAATAGGCTAAGCATTTTTGTTAATCATGGGCAAATGAAAATGAATGTGTAAAAAACAGCTGCAGATAGGAACATGTGCAATTTCCAGTCCAGAACTGACTCTGAACTAGAAAAGTTGAAATTTACTTGATTCTTAGATCACTCTACTTAAGATCCCAAAACTAGTAGCAGGTATCATTTCACTGAACCTATCAACTTTTTTCAACAATCACATCTAACTTTTTTTTAGAGACTGCCAACACTCCTTTCACACAAGAAGTAAGTCCTTTCCAAATTGTTATACCTTGGTACCATAAGTGCATCATTTTCTTGACTCCAGCAAAGAAAAGTTGCCAAAGCTATACAAGTCCTTAAGAAGTAGTGAGACAGAGTCTAAACAGCAAACACCTTACAATCTGAATATCAACAGGAAATTTGGGAACATTAGTCTACAAAGCTATCCAACTCATTAACAGAAATAATAAACAAGAAATTTCCAATAAAACACCTCTTCTGAAAGACCCCACTAGTCACATTTGTCCAATCAGAAAGATATCTATTTATCAGCACTTTTACTCTTTACAAATAAGCACTTCCTGAAACAATTAATGAAATTTGTCTCTTCTCTACAGCATATAAAACAAAACCTTGTATTATCATACAATTATACAACTTTCTGTTTGACATATTTCAATAGTCAATATTTTACAATAACAATATAAAACACACATTCCTGAAAAGTACCATCTACACACAAATCTTGTATTACCTTCACTCCATTTTGGCAAGTGACAACCAATTCTGCAATAAAGGCAATATCAGATAGAATCACGCCATCAGTAGTGGTGTATATGTTTGAGGTCACAGAGGGACTACTACAGATTTCATCTAAAAATAAAAACCCAATAAATTATTACCCTAGTTGCAAGAAAAATATACTTTTAGCAATAACTAAACCAGTTACAAGCAGCAGCTGTGTACATCTAAAAACTGAAACATCATGGACTTTTACACAACTTTAAACATCAAGTTTCAAGCATTTTTTAAACTTGTATTTCTAAAACATATGATGACAAAACTACTTTCACAAAGAAACATTGCACTGTTGATATATCTTAAACTTGTAATAAAATAAACTGTTTAATTTTATACCTGTCCAAAATTTTATTCTGGATAATACAATTTATTCCATACTTGGTTGAAAAAGAAAGAAAAATCTAATTAAACTTTCCTTAAGAAAATTGCAACACTGTGTACATTTCCTATTAAAAGCTAAAGATTTAGATTTTTGAAATAACATGTTTCAAAACATTACCTACATACCCATGAATTTTCCCTACACTTCAACTCTTGTAACCACAACCAAGATTCTCATTAAAGGTTAACAATAAATCTAAAATGACATCCTCTGGGGTTGGCTCTTAGCATTTGATATAAAAACCATCATAAATCACTTCAAGAAATCTTTCTCACTCCACATTGTATATAATTCAAATAAGTATGTCTAAAATTAGTTTTCCATGATTATTGCATCGGTATCCTTATTAATAACAATTCTAACCTCATTATACAATTTCTCATTGATATCTCTTTCATCAGGTGGCCTATAACAATTGCCCGCTATAAACTTTCTACCTTTGACATCCCCGATTGTAACTTCAGAGTTCCCATGCTTCCAAATGAAACATTTTCCAAGAATTTCCAGGAAAACAATTAGAAAAATTTCAGGCTACTTCTAGGAAACTCTTTGATAAAATTTAACATCCAAAGAATACTAAAAATTTTGTTTCTTGTTAAGCACAAAGTTACACCATTGGCTATCTGAGCCATGCTCATCACACATATTGAAACCCAGTTTTTAGCTTTATAAGCCTACAGACTTACTGCTGAGATAAAGAAAGAGCACTACAAACTAAAGAATCCAATTATATGAGACACTATATACATATATATATATAAGTAGTTTTGTGGAGGAGAAAACCATCTTTCATAATATTCTTAAAAAGTTAGCAACATTACATATCTCTAACTACAATATACAATTAGAATATTCCATGGTAATTAGCTGAACATACTACATTAATGAAATTAATTTCAACTTTCAACATTCTAACTCTGCTTCTCATACAAGCTAGTAAGTAAGTCATTATTTATTTTGTGTTTGGCTCCTTTTAACTCTAAAGAGACATAAGGTAAAAACAAAGTCTTGAAATTAAATTCACACCTCAGTAATAAACATTGCTGACAAATACACATGCATATATAATTCTGTACATAAGTAGCTTCTGTCTGCTGTAGGTCAGATGATGAGTTCTAATACTGAACTGAAAGAAACTCCTTTATAAACATTGCTGACAAATACACATGCATATATAATTCTGTACATAAGTAGCTTCTGCCTGCTGTAGGTCAGATGATGAGTTCTAATACTGAACTGAAAGAAACTCCTTTATACTTGCAGCAGACTAAATAAATAGAATAGAAAATATATTCTCACAATTCTAGCATGGAACCTATAACAATGTTTTAAAATTCTAAAGATTAAAACTTTTAACTATTTTTTAGGCTAAAAACTTCTCCTTCACCATGTTATGCTAACTGGCAATCATGTATTACATATCATATTACTAATTAGCTTACTCTATTATTTGTCTTTTATCTGCAATGGAATTGATATCATTGAAAAAAAAAAAACATAGCTTTCACCTTTTTCATTCAGCAATTCACAAACAATAGTGGTAACTTTGCAGCAGCAAGGATATGTATATGGAATACTGAAGTGATTGAAATAATTATGAAAAATAATGAACATTTACATGTTATTTTGTCTTTGCTGCTATTTCATCTTGTTATTCATACAAAATTGATAGCAATAAAAATTGTATTACTAGCTTATTTTGAAGAATCTTCCATTATAAAAACAAAATAGAAGCAGGCCATAATTATATTTCTATTTACTTTACTTGCATGAATTTTAGTGTACCCATCACACAAGTTTAAAAGATGTACAAAATAATATGTATTAGAGAAGTAAGACTGTTTCAAATTGATCATGCTTACTTAAAGTGGCCTCTGGCACAAATTCATTTTAAATCTATACATTTAATAAACCTTGTATTATTCCTGCCATACATTAAAACACTGAACTGTCTACTAGGCAAAAAAATGTCCTGTTACAATTAACATTACTAAATAGCATGAAACAACTAACTCAAAAGTTTACTCATAAAACAAGATATACAAAGTATGGCAAGGGTAACACTAAAAAAAAAGTGAATGTATGGTTCTTTCTAAAGTTAGCCTACAGTTAGAAGCTCAAGACAAACAAGAAAATGCAGATGAATATACATAAGCATCACATTAATGCATAAGTTTTGTCAATAATTCTGAAGATGTTTGCAGATTTCTCACATTGTTACCATACATGACACTTACAGTGGGACTATATCTAATTTCCAGAAATTCCAGGAAGCATGGAAACCCTATAACTCATACACATATTATATATATATATATACAATTTAGTGATTACATGTTTATGTCTTCAGTCTCAAGAGGCTGCAGTTCATCCCTTATACAGATGGCTGCCACATCTGCTCTTTTAAAAGTTTATCAGCATTAAATAACTCGTAACCTGAAAGTGAAATTTAAAAATAATTCCTACTATCAATATTTCGCAAATCTAACCAAGTTTGAGTAATTCATATTATAATTTTATATTACAGTCTTCCATTTCCACTTCAACTCATCCAATTTGGTACTACAACTAGTTCTCCTAACATTAGAATATGTCAACTTGCTTATTCTTGTACTTACGTTTATCTTTAAAAAAAAAAAGGAAAAACAAAAATATGCTCTAAATCTTCCTTTTCCAAATCTTTACTTTGCACAAACTATTCTTTCAATTTATTTTTATTATCATTTAAAAAAGGATTAAGTATGTCTACATCACAGCGTATCATGTGACGTTGGCGTTAAAACATAGTATTGGTATTAACTTAGGCCTAACTGTTGAATTAAAATTAATATTATCAAGGGAAGAAATATCATCTGTAAATAAATAATATCATAATAAATGCAGTTATATGTCTATCCAACGACCAGTTCGTTAAACGTATGTTTATCATTTTAATCAAAGCATACCCTGCAACGAAATGTTAAAGCAAACCGAAGACAAAACAGCAAACAATATCCATTTCACTGCCATCATTAAATTAAACAGATTCAAGGTATATACTCTATGTTTCAGAATCGCTCACTTTTAGGGACCGTTAAAATAATTTGAAGTAAGCCGAAAGCAAGAAGTTTTCAGTATTTTTCTCATAATTTAGACACAGTTACTATTTTCACACTATTTTGCATGTATAAGTTATAAATAAACTAAAACTATTAAGTATGTAACACGTTATATTTTAATTTTAAATATTTGAGAGGCGTTAAAAATATCTAAAGGAAAACATAAGCACATTCTCGACTTCATCACTATATACAATTATCACCTCAAATATGTGCAAACGCCACTGCTACTAACAATAGAGCCACACATATTCTAGAAAATAAAGAAAAAGTGGTAGTAACATGTTATATCTAGGGAAAACTGAATTACTTTAGAGCAGTTGGATAGGTCTGCTTACTAACAGAAGATTCGGTCAAAATACCAATTATGAAGTAATGGTATATTTCTAAGTAATCGAGTCGTAAAAATGGATGAAATAAAAAGGTTGGACACAAAGTAAAACACAACTTTTATTTATGTCACACGAAAACACAAACATAATCAGTGTACTTGATTTGTATAAAAGATAATTCATTTTACTTGATCTTCTGTGGTCAACAATTCATAAATCCAGCACTCTTTAGTTAGCAAGAAACGTTATATTCATCAAGATCGACTAGTACTATCTACGTGCTGGTCATTCTCATTCAATCATAGGCTGTGCCATAACATCAAAATATTGACTAAACTACCATTGAACGCACTGCTGTCGACATCCTTGAAAAACAAGCAGTATTTCAGTAATAAATCTATGGGTAGAGCTGGTTATTATCCACTCAAGAATAATAGCCGAGCAAGGGGAGCTAGAATAAAATCAACTTAATGACTTTCTAAACCATGTCTTATGTGAAACTTTCACATAATCAGAAGAAATGATAAATTCAGAATAAATATTATAATAGTTCTTCAGTGGGTCTGTGGAAGGTCTGAGGGATTATAATGTTGAAAATCAGGTTTTAATACCCATGATTGGAATGGCACAGCCAGCCCATTGTGTAACTTTATGCTTATTAACAAACAGAATACTGTAATATTGTGATATATGATATATCACGAATTTCTAACTTTTTGTAATGGTATATAGTATTTATTTTGAATTTATTATTTGTACGTTTAGGTTTCACATAACATGTTCTAGCTGCCTTTGTTGTTCTCTAGAAAATAATACCTTTTCTACTCAGAGAGGAGGGATAATAATGCTGTAACGTTTGTCGTTCAGGTGATGTCTAGAGTCATAGCCTCACCCATGTTGTAATGAAAATAATTAGTCATGTGGGCAGTACTAGTTGCTCTGGATAAAAAAAAATATATTTCTTGCAAACTATTGAATGTTGGGTTCAAACAGTCTGGAATGTGATTTTGGAGAAGAAGTACTTTGATAGAATCCATAATCAGAGTTAAGTTGCTTGTTCTGTAAATGAAGAGTCACATTTCACAGAGGCATATTCTGGCCTAATCAGGGCACTGGGAAATTTCTCGATCTGTTGGTAGGCCATTCCACCACTGAATAGGAAAAATAAAAGAGACAAAACACAGTGTATAACAGTATGAAACAATCTTTATTCAAGACACAAAATGGCACCTTACTTGTAAATATCTCTTAATTCCTGTAGAACTCTTCAATAACTCTCTAAATTCTGTGCCAGACTGAGAAAACATAACATTATATAAATATAACAATAATTTTATTCTTTCCCACGCCGCATGTGCTACCCATGTTGCTGTTCGTGATTCCCATCGAAAAATAAGGAAGGTTATATGCTTCGGATTTAACCTGGCTCACCAGTGAAAAAGATTAGTCTACTATCACATAATATTTTATCCTTTACAAAAAGCTATTCTCCAAGCGTCACGTGACTTTCGCTGTCGTAACACTGCCCCTTCCTTAGTATTGTTCGTCCCGAACAATAGCCACTTACATTAAACCAATAAACAATTAACAATAACTTAATTAAATGTACAGAATTTACAAACACAAAATTAAAATTCAACAAAGTCTCTTAATTTTACGGGACGTATCTTCTTCCAGTACTGGTCTCCGTCTCGTTGGCTTCTGCTTCGTGTAGGGTTCATCTGCTTCATCAGGAAATGTCCTATCATCGGTAACACTCACATCAATGGTAGTAGCTTCATCAAGGACTTCACTGTTTTCCTTCTCAAAATCGGGTAGAGTTTCTTCTTCGACAGTGGCTTTTTCAGGTGACATGTCTACAGCAGCGTCATTTGTTCCGTTGTTCACTTCATCCCAACTGAAATGTCCTGGGCCATGATAACGCCAAAGCCTGTTGGCATGCACTACCTTTGGCTTACCTCGCCGACCACATTTTATTCGGAAAGTCACGTCTGAGAGACGATCCACTATGTCATATGAGCCTTCCCATGGAGAAGACAACTTAGGAGACTTCTCTTTGGTCTTCCTGGGATTATACAACCACACCTTGTCTCCTGGTACAAAGCTGACTTCAGTAGATCTCTTATCATAAGTTAACTTCATCGAATCAGCAGACGTTTTCAAGTTTGAACGCACTTGATGGTGAATATCATCCAGCCTTTCCGATAACACTTTCACAAACTCTGACACATTTTCAGGCAACTCTTCATGAGGTGGGCTTCCTGTTAACAGATCTACTGGCAATCTAAGTTCCTGACCAAACATCAATTTTGCTGGAGTGTATCCAGTGGCTTCATGCTCTGCTGTCCTATAGGCCATCAACAGTGGAGGAAGTAAGACATCCCAGTCATTTTGGCGGCTATTATAAAACTTTGCCAATTCCTGTCCCAGTATCCAGTTGTACATTTCTACCATCCCGT